ATATATATTTTTACAAAAATATTTCTGCGTTACAATATATTTGTACATATGCTTATTGCACAAAAAAGTGCTTAAACTTGAAATAAAAACAAGTATTGCTGAAACTTGACATCAGTCGTGCATATATCAATATCTAAATACAAAGTAAAAAGTATCTAAATCATAACATCTAGATTNTAAACATTTTGAATATAAATTTGAAACAAAATCTCTTTTTAGAGAAACAACNGTATTGTAATTAAACTTGAAATACAAAAAAAAGTATTGCTTAAACTAACATCAGTCGTGTATATATTAGTCTATATTGTATTATCTAAATACAAAGTCAAAATCATCTAAATCATAATGTAATATCTACATTTTAAACAAATTTTAAATATAAATTTAAAACAAAATCTTTTCACAGAAACAAAATTATTTTGTAATTATATTACTTTAAATCATTTAACAGTCTTTAATTAACGTNATATTAAAATATGTCATACAGAAAATAAATGGCTAGAAAGTATTATTATGTTGTATTATTATATTCACGTTTGATTTCGCCAATTCTTTGCGACAGTGTTCTCTCAAGATCCTTTGTTCGAACATGTGGCCATTTTTTATGTTTTGCTACTGCTTTTGCATATTCTAAAAAGAATAAAAAATAAATCACATGTTCAACATAACAATACAAATAAAAAATATTTTGAGCAGATCTACATAATAATAAAAACTTACTTATAATTGCTGATCTGGCAACAACATCAATGCCAAAATATTTTACTCCAGGTTGCTTTCCTCCTAAAAGAATACGAGGTGCATTGCCAGTAAAAGTAACTTCNTTTTGTCCTTTTTTAAAAATCTCTTCTTTAAATACTCCAAGCACTAGTTTTCGGACCAAATGTGTTGTTTTTGTTGAAGAACCAAGAGCATAGTGCAAGACTGAAGATTTACAAAAAATATTATTTCTAAGTAATATCATCTGCAAACAATAAAAATAATGTNTTTGAATTTTTTTGTCATATGTTTCTTAATAATTATACTTAATTAGTATATAATACTACTATTATAAGTATATTTACATTTGTGATTTAGATCTGAAAAGCAAAAGAATTTTTTTATCACTATAATTACTATTAAAAAAAAACTTTATTGTAATTAAATATATATAACAGTTATGTCCGTCTTTTTTCCTGAATTTTTTGCATAATTCATCTTTCTTCCTTTTTTCAAAGAAAAGAGAAAAAAAGGAAAGATGAACTGTGCAAAAAATTCAGGTAAAAAGAACAGATCAAATATGTATAACAGTTTCTATATAAATGTAGTGTAGTATTTATGCAAGCGTGAAAATATAACTATTATACCGTTTCTCCATCTTCGTTAAAATCTTTTCCATATAATTGATGAAGTTGACGTGGATCATTTTGGAAAGATTCTTCTATATTTTGTATATCTTGTGTATCTTGTATATCTTGTATATCTTCATTAAGTTCCTGTTCTGACACTGCTTCATTGCGAGAGTTTAAAACATCAAGTGCATTGCATATAGTAGAGCACGTATTTTGACTTTNGTATGATTTATTTGATTGCAAAATAGTTTTGGGTACTGTAAAAATAAAATAGAATTAAACGTACAATATATTTTAATATAGCAGACTATGAATTATTACTTGTTTTTAAAAAATTCATGATCNAATAAAAAAATATGCATTATAATATCTTATAACGTTTATCATCTTCTTTTGAGTCGGATTTTCAAATGTATTAAATACATAGTTATATTAGTCTGCTATATGAAAACGATGTATATAATCTAATACCTGCTTCATTATGTTTCATTTGTTCAGAGACAACATTATTGTTATCTATTATATCTGTCACTTGTTTTCTCGTTAGATCTGTGCTCCCAGACGCTAAAAAAAAGATTACACTAAAATAAATACAATTGCATATATTGCATGTATTGTACATATCTAGTAAAGAAAAACAATAACATTACCTTTATTTTGGGATTTAACATGTCTATTTTCCTTGTCTGTGATATCGAAAAGTGATTCAACTCCTATAAAACACACACATATATATCTAATATATATATGTATATATATTAGAATAGGAATATATATTTTTTTATGTAGTATAACAATATATATGTAACCAATTAAAATATTTTTCACCTGATGAAGATAATGGTGACAATGTTCTTTTTTCTTTTACAAGTGTTTGAAGATGCTTATTTGTTTCTTCCATTTCTCTGAGTCGTCTTACAAGTGCAACAATTGTTGAAGTAGCTGTCCGTTGGCGTTGGTTCTGTAACAATTAAAGTAACATTATTATTGCAAAACACAAGTAAACATGGACAAACATTATAAATTTCTTACTTTGTCATGAACCAAATCGTGAGAAATATTATTCTCCTCCTGATTATCGACAGAATTATTATCTTCATTTGAAGAGTCTTCTTCTGACGATGAAGATAATGCATTACTGAGTTGCTGTGTTTTTACATTGCATGCATTAGTAATTTTTTCATTATTCTATAAATAACAGTAATAGATAAATATATATATATACATGAATACATATTTTCTTTCACAATTCTCTTTAGATGAACTATAAAGCCTGGTCTTTCTGGCTAAACTTCTTACACACTTCATCTTTTCTCTTTTTCCCTTATTTTGAAAAGAAAAAGAGAAAACATGAACAGTGCAAGAAGTTCAGCTAAAAAAAGAGGCCTATAATANACTATGTAAATATATTATTGTTCTTTACCTTTTGTTTTTTAGCTATTGGTTTTTTGCTATGTNATGGTGGTGAATATGGAATATTAGGAATTCTTTGTCGTTTTTTTGGATGTTTATGAACTGATTCTTCTTTAGATACTTTAGCATTCTTTTTATCTGTTTCTATTGTTTGCTTTCTCCATTTTTTTAGTACTGTTTCATTGTCTTAAATATAACAATATTGAAATTATAATTTAGCTACATTGTTACTAATTTTATCTTTAATGATTTGTACTGAAGTGATAAAGCTGGTTTATAAGTCGTTTATATAACCGTTAACTTATGCAGCACTGGTAAAGTTGAACAATAGGACCTTAATGCTTTTGTTTCTAATAACTAAACATTTTATTATAAACAAAAGCATTGAAATCTTATTGTTAAACTTTACCGACATAAGTTAACAGTAAAGATCTGCACAAACCAGCTTTAAAGCAAGCAAATCACTATTTAATGCTCACAATGACTGATATTTATAAGCGGAATTTAATATTTTTAACNGTTTCAAGTTTTATTTTCAGATGTTGTGTAGCTAACAAAGTATTCCATACAACATCCGAAGATAAACTTAATCTTAAATATACGAAGCGATATATATATATGAAACCAATGAGAGAGGTTAGATATTTATTTTATAAGTTAGTATAACAAACAAGTCAATATACATTTATATTGCATCACATATATCATACCTGAGCGACCAATGACACTTCCTGTATATAATTTGTTACAATGAAAAAATTGAATAGAATCACCATTTTTCACACCATCTTCAAAAATTGCTTTGTCTTCTTCAACAATAAGATAAGAACGGTCTTCTTCGCAAAATACTAAAAACATTGTAAACACGCAATATATTTCACCAATTATACGCACGCCTATTGCGAATTGCGACAATGCCACTTTGATAAACGCGTAGTTGATTGTAGAAATTTTCAGATATGTCCAGAAGTCTAGCATGTTCCGACATGTTCCACCAGCATTTCTACTGAATGCGTTCTTTCTTTGCTTAAATGGCGTCTTGCCCCTGCTCGAAAGGAGCATATACCAGACTGCGATAAATCGGATAAAACTAAGATGCTGGTGTGAAATACACTGGAATGTCGAAAAATATTCTTTAAACGTAACTACGCACAACGTAACTACGACAAAGAAGTTCACCGCTATGGCCGCTGTACGCATTCTTATTGAATGCGTTATATTCGAACGTTTATGGTATAAGGTGCTTGCAGATAGGACGCGGCAACACGTTACGTATTACGCGATAGCCAATCAGCAATTTACTCTTATGGAAAATATGCTTTTTTCATAAAAGTAAAATGCTAATTGGCTACTACGTTGCGGCGTCTTTTCTGCGAGAGCCATATAAAATTGTGACCAATCACAATGTAGACATATATAGGCTGCGTTCTGTTTCATGCATTTGCACGCATTTATCTATAGTACANGTCACATGTAGTATAAATCATGCGTGCATATGCGCGAAGCGGAACACAGTCATAAATAAAAAGCTAATTGTTACGATGCTTGCATTTAGATTATGTCATCTGATGTCAAGTGTATTTGATCAGTTCTTTATATAATTTATATAAACGGGCAACACACAATTAGTAAACATTTCGTAGAAATGATGATGGAACATGCCAGACTACTGGACATATTTGACAAGTTTCTGCAAGCAACAACACGTTTAGAATTATCTGAGTGACATTGTTATAATCCGTAATAGGTGTAATTACAATTGAGTTTTATGCGATTATAAAATAATCGAGAACTGGTAAGTAATTTTATCGTATTTATATTGTAATATATTTTATTCAAACGTACTAAACTATTATAAGTTATATATGTATAATAGAACAGATGTACAATCTAAAATTTTAATACTTAGTGTTATATTACAAATTTCTGTGTATTGACTAATATAAATTC